TCTTCTGAATGCCATATTAGTGCGTAACAGCAACCCGACATCCACTTCAGCACGCACGAGGAGGCAGCAGTGTTCATTTTAAAGCACTCTTAATATGCATTTTTAATGAACACCATAAAACCGACTCAAAAATAAACAGTGCTTCTCGCGTTACGCTTGATTGAGGTTTTGGATGAGCGAAATGCTTACTGGATGTGTTATAACAGTGATCGAATTAATGACGAACCGATCATCAGCGTTCCCGTTCATCCCTCCTTCCATCCGTCGACTTCTATGCCTGTCAGAATATCTAACTGCAGGACTCACTGCGATGTCACCTTGCTTCTGATTTTTGAACAGTGCGGAAAGAAGAGCGCGGGCTAATCAACCTCCCACTTATAGCGAAGCGCCAAATCACTCTCTGTAATGTTGATAAACAGTCTTGGTCCGTATAACACGTTAAATGCAGGGCCTTAGCTAAGTCTTAGGCAGATGTAGGCTTGAAAACTCAGTTCTCGGAGCGACTGATTAGGGCGCCTTCTGTTGCACTTAGGCTGAGAGATCTGGCATCCAGCCGATGCTGTCAGCCGCAATGCCGCATAAGCATTGCGCCTTCAACAGCTCGCAGGAAAGCCAGGAGAAGGGTAAACATAGTCAATTACTTCAGCGCCAACTAATATACCCTTGATAATAAAACTAAAATTTTATCTTCTAGCACTTTTCGCTGCTAACTGCAAAGCTTAGTTTAGTTTGGCATTCATCTTGCTGTTGCTGAGTGAACTGGCCTTCAAGCCATTCCACAACCCCAACTCTTCTCTCTCTCTCCCTCTGAGTACACTTTATCAATCATGCCTTTCGCCTTCCACTATCGAATGGGAAGTTTAAGAAAGCCACAATGATGACAGCGAAAAACAAGCCCTACTTTGTTGCAACTTATCCCCTGTTTTTCGCCGCTTTGAACAAATTAGGCGGAGCGATTGAAGTGCATGCACTGCAACAGAGAGATTTTCCATCCTCTTCGCAACGAATGGACTAATAACAACTCCTGCATTTCTGTGTTATAGCGGTGAACTACAAAGAAATATAGTCACACTCCCGTAAACCACCGCGGAAGAAACCGTTTCGGTGACACTACATCAAAGCTGCTTCAAAATTAAAATGTTTAAAGCCCTTAAAGCAGGCCCTTCATTCGTGTCTGCATTTCAGAATCCAAACCCTTCCCCTAGCACGAGGTGTGATTTGTTCTACATCCTTCATCTAAAAGATACTTTTAAAGGATTGTGGGCAATTCAGCAATTCCTCGTGGCGACGTCAGATAATTTGTCGGATCTGCAACGATTTATGCAGAGACTCAAAAGAAATCCGTTTCCTAGTCTATGTAATATCAAGATGTTTGTGGTGAAAATGACTTCTTTGAGTGGATAATCTCAACCCACTGCTAAGGATAGAAATACCAAAATTGGGATCATGATTTAGAGGGTGGCGTCCCCTTTATTCACCTCTCTGATGATCGCATAACTTCTAATGAGTCTTTTCAAATGTTTATTGGATTTTTTTAAATTGTCTGGAAGGCCTTCTTGATGCGAAGCCAAAGGGGAAAGGCACACCACTCCAAGATCCCGCTGAGAGAACAACCAAGACGTAGTTGAGGAATCTACAGCACTACACAGCCCTCTCCTCCACTTCGTCAACTTACCATCTTTTAATCGTCAGGCAGCAGCGAACGATTCCCGGGACAACTCCCACAAACCACCAGCGCCAATCATCCAATTTTTGTAAAATGGAGGTTGTATTTGGCCACAGGATCAACTACTGCTCTTGGCGAATCCGTTATATCCTTAGTTTTATCCCATTTCAACACTGCATGTCTATCCTCACAGACTAGGTGCGGATCGTTAAATTTGTGGCGGTGTGGAAGGGATCAGGTCATTGTAAATTTGGGGGTCAATAAGGGTGTCGTGCATTTTTATTTGCCCAATGCCTTTATTTTTGGCTTTTTAATCAACTCTATGCTGAATGACTGCACATCACTAGTGTCCACGGCCAGTCAAAGTGAGGCATCATTTCAAACCCTCCGCTTTGGCGCCCATTACAGCCTATTTTTATCGACAGCTTAGGTTATATTTTTATTACCTTAAGATTAAACAAATGGACACAGAACTTGAGGCGACAGACCACTATTTTTGAAGGCTATCAGTGTGGCCACTGAAGTCCATTGTAAAACCAAGACTGAGGGAGAAAATGCAGTACCACGGCAGGAGGCAAGTACGACTACTTGTAGACTGACTGATTTTTACTACAGTCCTTTTGAAATTAGACGCAGTCAAATGATGCGTCTGCACCACAAATAGCCTGAGTTCCATCACTGTACATCTGCACTTCACAAAGTCTGTCTTTTCTTTGCAGGTCACGTCGACATTTTTGACAAATTGTAATGTAATGCCTTGTTTATTAGACTGTCTATGTGAATCGCGATCACTTTGATGTCCATCTTGCCTTTGATGGGTGGGCTGGCCTTTGAGTTATGTTGAAGTCTCAACTCTACCCTCTTCTCCCAAAAAGAGCAGTTTGACTCGCGTATTGCATCTCTTGGGAGGCTACATTTGGTGGAAGTGGATTGCCGACTTTATTGCGCAACGACTTCTCTCCCGGTCTCCTTTGCTTGGGACAACCTTTGCGGGGCAATTAAAGGGCATAAACTACAGGCGGGTGAATACTTAATTTCCGTGCAATGCGAATAGCCCTGACCTGCATGACCAACAGTGAGCATTACGTAAGACATTTAAAGTTCAATTTTAAAAATCATCGAAATTAACTGCCTTGCAAGACCTTATTTGCACACCCTATTGATAGTGAACTTTGCTGCTTTAAGGTGAAATAACTCACAATGCGTGGAGACGAATTGCATTGTCAGCATTAGGTTTAACTCGAGACAACTGACGTGACCCAGAAAGCAGAGCTCCAAGTCTTCGCTAAACCGTCAATGCATTGCATTGGTTACAATAAAATGGTAATACCTGGAGTCCCGAAGTTGTGGGAATGAAGGCCTTGCATATTAAAAACCACGCTTTATTTATCTCTCATCACTGATAAAGGTCCAGTATTTAAGAGAGAAAGTGGTTAAGTTGAGTTAGGATTTGTTATCACTTCTGCATTCAAGGCAAATGACTCTGACTCGATTTTGCATGAATTAGAATAAGAACTGACTGCCAGATAAAGAATTGATGAGAGATTATTGTGCGTGTAGCATCTCGAGACTTCCCACAGGGTGGGAGAAGACAGTAAGTGAAGCCGAATACGTGTGTTTCAAAGGGAACAAAGTGATTAGGCCTGAGCATGGCCCGAAGGCCAGCTCACAAGTACAAGGGCCTGACAAATCCTAAAGAGAACACCAAACGTCATATGGCCACATAAACGAAGTATTATATTGAGGAAGCACAAATTTTGGGTTTACAAGAAAGTGCTTTTCATGAAGTAGGATGTCCTTTGATGTCCCTTCTTTGTTCATGAAGTCACAGTTTGTTCTACTTTGATGAGAGCTCGAGGCTACTTGGGCCATATCAGTAGCCCTCAAAATTTCTTTACTTTGACGGTGTAGTTCTCCATTCGAGTACCATAGTTCCTCTCTCCTGGTTAAAGGCTTAGGGCAGATCGGTGCTCTAATTTGTAAAAAGGTGAACAAATGATGCGGAGCCTCTTAAAAGAAGGGGTTAAAATAATTTCTAACCACATCAAGCTGGTATTACACTTATTTTGTTAATTTGGTGCTAGTAAATTTGGCAAGTAGCTCATCATGGAACCACTTACGGTAATGAGGGAAAGACATTGCTGAGTACTTATATGTGGCTTCCATTTTCCTTCTGGCTAGATAGATAGTGGCTGAACAGCGCTATAATGATAAAAAGACTGTCAGAATAAAGAGACGGTATACCTTATCGACTAGATCAAATAAATGCGTTAAGACCGGCGGTGATACAACTGATAACGTTGTAAGAGCTGCCTGCCTACCCTCCTGCTCTCGAACCTCGGATTTTAAGAGGCCTGGTTGCAGATTATTTATTTGAAATTTGTTACAGGATAATGCGGATTGGGATGCCGATGAACCGAATAGGAAATATCAACTAGAGAGAGACTCCTCATCGTCTTCGCGCACATGATTCACGTTCCCAATTGGTCCCCGCCTCTCTCCTATAAAAGTCCACTTAAACAAACCAGTATACACTGCAAACATCATCACAATTCTTAGAAAGGATGCAGTTTTTCAGATCCGGAGGATTACCCGCAGCTTATATACTGTAACGAGGTCCAACTTTGACCAGCCGTGAAATTTAGGCACTTGTAACGAATCACTGTAGATTTGCTTGGAGAGTCTAAAATAAAGACGTCCAGGCAGTGTAGTACTTTGCTAATTTGACAACTAGATGTCTGTCAGATACTTTGAGCTTGATCTTTTTAGCAACCCGAGGCTTCCCATAGGGTGAGAGGAGGCAGTAGGTGAGGTTGGATACATGTATTTCGAAGAGAACAGAACAAATGGGCCTGAGCATAGTCCGAAGGCCAGTCCACGAGTAAAAGGAACAGACAAACCTTATTTAAATCCGATTAAGTACGCACAGCAAACATGGAGGTGAAATAACGGGGCTACAATAGTGGAAGTTAGTAGTATGTTCAGAGATTTAAACAACAAAAGACTGCATTCAAAGGGAGTGACAATGGTGATTGAAAATATATAAAGCACCTGATTCATTGATAATTTTATTCTTAATGCATACATAAGGAGTTGTTAGTACCAAAATAAGAGTGCGGTTTTAATCTCGCGTCATTTTAGATCAGCAATAATCTTGAATTAAATGTGGTAGCTAGCGTTATGCAGTTTATACTTTCCACAATATAAATGCTTAAGGTCACCTAACAGGCGCGCTGCTCGTGATCGCTGTTTGGCTTTTGTGGGATGTCGGGTGTGCGGTGGATTTTACTGCGCGTTTTATTTGATCTAATTGCAGTAGCTCCAAGTAATTGTTGCAGTTTATCTAGATTGCCTCTTAGTTGTGGTCGTTTCGGGGGTCGTCTACAATTTGGAGCCATTTAAAAGAGGATATTTTTCAAACGATGATTCATTAAAATATCCTTATTACTCCTCAACAGTCAAGAGTATATACTTGTTTACAGTAGTGCCTATAATTACGGTTTTAATTGTAAGCCTTAAATTTTCAGAGTGTATGTGTTTTGTAGATTGTTGCAACGGAGCTCATACGAGCCCGTAGTTACGGTTTTACGACGCGTTACAAGCACATTCCCCTGGTACGACATTCATTTGATTAATGGTCACTATTTTAGATCATTATTAGTTTGTACAAATTTCTTTACCTTTTGGCCTTCGGCTACGCTGTGGTCTCCATGTTTGTTCATATAGGGAAAGTCGTCTTGGGTCGACTCCGGCCTCACTTTTACGACGTTTGTGGCCCAGCTGTTGTAGCTGAAACAACTTATGGATACATAAGTGAATTTACCTGCACCAAAAATGATGCTGGCTTAATTAAGGACATGAGGTTATTGTCTTCCCGCACTTTATTCCGTTTTATATGTATGCAAATCTGTGTTTTCCTCAATTGACTCACAAGATGAATACTTCTTTATTTATATTCTTTTTTGCTCTTTGCTATTTATTAGCTATTTTGTCCTTTAAAACTTTCATAAATGGCGTAGTTATCCCAATGTTTTTGTGACTTGTGGTAGAAAGCGTACAGAACTCTTTGTTCACTTGTTTCAATCTATACTTAAGCATTTATAAAAATACCCCTCTTCTAGACTATCATTCCCATCAGGCCACGCTGCCTACACAATGTTTCCAGCTATCTTCATTGCAGTAAGTATTATGATTCCGTCCAAACCCTAAGACGTCTCTTAAATTTCTTTCTATCTCACTCCGTCGAAGTAGTTTCACTTTTAAGCTTTGCTATTGAGCAGAGGTTGGGTCATTTCTGATGAACTTCAACAAAATGGAGTTAGAATATGTGCGGTTCTAGGTTGGTCTCATGTTTAAACCATGTAATTACACATATTTCTTGCATAATTAGGCGAGACGTGATAATTATTACTGCAGTAAACACTTCTCTTCGACCGGTTTTAGCACTTAGTAGTGGTTGATCGAGTTACCTCCATTTCTTTGATTGCGTTCAACTATTTACAAACTTTGTCACAAGAAGTTGGCCCCATCACTTAGATGAATTTCGCCTATTACTCAGTATTAGCTCGTTCTTTGCTCCCTCTTGGACTAACTCATCTGGGTGGACTTAACTTTATAAGCTGCGTAATTTTGCACCATGGTTTCCTTTTTCTTAAATCTTGTAATTGGCAATTCTCGTTGCGCTCTTCGACTCACGCATTTCAGAACTTTGCTGTTGTTACTGCGGTATTGTCAAAAATACTCCCATTGAATGAAGTAGAGGGTGGATGCATGCGTGTCAGTCTACGTGTTCACATGTGTGTTTTCTAATCACTGCAAAATGTGGTCGAAACAAAGGTGCAGTCACGCAACACCTTATCACCCCCACGCCTGTGGCAATTCATCCGCATCGCTCACCATTTTTATACATTTTTCTCCCTTCAGAAACCCTACAAATTATTCGACCGAGTAACCATATTAACGATCCGTAGAAAGCTTTTTGTTTAGTGGAATTGTAGTCTGTCACCGAGTATTAATTCGCTTCCTCCGCATCTTGCTGAACTTGTTCATTCCTGAACTAATGTGTGAATTATGTTCCGCCTAGAAAATGCAGAACGTTTTGTCCCAGCAGTTTGGTGTATGTCATTCGTACGCCATTTACTGTAAATTTGATCAGTGTTTTAAAAAAATAATTTTGAACCCTGAGTCAGTTTTAGGAAAAATTGGTCCCTAAATTTGTACCATAAAATGGGAAAACGCTTGAAGTGCAATAGTTGACAACGTTGATACCATTTGTTGCTTCCGACTTTCTACTCATTCCACAAAAGGCTTACTTCTCCCTATCAAAAGTCGATTTGATTGGCCTGACACAAAGGAAATACTTAGTCCATCAGAAGGCGAAAGTTGCTGTGACATCCAAGCCGATTTTTGGAAGCATTCACGAAAAGAAGGTGGGAAATAGGGCTGTAACCTCATCCACACTGAGGGAAGTGGGAAAGCAGAGCGATTCCGACACTCAAGGTCAACAAGCGCGTTCATGATTGGTTTGTAGGTGTACCTGCATTACCGTATGCCAGACATTGGAATGGGTTCGGTGTTGCAGGCATTTGTCCAAACCGCGGCCGTAACAGCCGCCTTCTACGTTGGCATGACACGAGTTTCAGACAACAAACACCACTGGACGGACGTTCTTGGCGGAATGGTAATTGGCGCCTTGGTTGGTATTTATACCGTGAGTTTGCCTCAAGTTTCTTGCCTCTTAGTTACATGTTTTTCTTTTGACGTCATTTCGTTGGATTTACTGCATTCTCGAATCGTGCACAGCTGGTGGTGAAAGTTGAAGGCGTGGATTTCAACAAAGAAGCCTTCGTTTTGTGGAAATCACGCCTCCAATTTGATTGGTGTCTTTTTCCAATGTCAGGCCTACTGTTTTTATTGGCTACATTTCTTCCAATCAGGTTTAGGTCTCTCCAGATGTTCCTATTTTTTTTCTATACTCAATCTCCACTCTTCTTTTCATGAGAGATTATTGTTTTACATCACAATTCATGATTAACTAGATTATGAGAACTTAAATCTACAAGTAGATAGTTCTCCTCCCTTTCGACGTTTGCGTGGGTGGAATGTAGGCTCCTAGCCTATCCGGCGTCATTCTCACGAGCGCATTCTCGTTGTCATGGCGAGGCATCTCGCAACCTCGAATGCAGCAAGCGGCACACCTTTTTGTGCGCGATTGTGCGTGCTAGGTACTTAGGGCCCAATCATTCACTCCATGGCCAGCTATTCATTATTCGTTCATGTCACTTCAAGTCGACGCTTCAACAATGGTAGTGGTGTTACAGTACAAGGTTTAGTTAATCAGCTCTTTCCATAAGAGTGATTTCAATAATCTCTGAACTGAATTGGCCTTGATAGTACTGTACTTGAAGTCTAGCATGAAGGAGGTGTTAATGTGTTGCATTGAAATTAAAAATGTTTGGACGAAATTAGAGCCGTCTTAAAATGAGTGTCTCCTCGTAATTCGCAATTTAAATTGCTTGGTGGGGAAAGGCGCCTCAAATCATCAACTCAGTGTTTCTCTTAACTCTTTTGCCGTTTTAAGTACTCAACACGTGACCAAAAATGGTCAGTCAGCTTGAAAACTGCAACACCGCTTAAAACGGGGAACATTTGGGTCAACCTTTAGCCCTGGATCTGGGGCGTTGCAAATGCTTGTTCATGCGTTTTGGCATTACTTTAAGTAGGTGATTTTTTCCCAAAATTCTTGTGTTTTATGAAGTCCTGCCAAAAGATTAAAGCTAAATTGCCGCCTTGCAATAGCCACTCAAATACATTCTCTTTTTGTCAATTGAAGGAAAGTCCACTTGAGACAACGTAATGTAGGCAGTTCGTCATCATTCACTGCCGCCTGTCAGAGCGTACTAGGTAGTAATGACGTGTCAAAAAGTTAAAAATAATAATAGCAATAAAATAAATAAATAACTAAATAACAATAAAATAATCTTACTTTGCTGCGTAGGCAAACAAACGTAGAGCTCCTAATGGCCCACTGAACTTCTAATTTTCATTGTTTGTCCGATTTCCGAAGTATAAATTTATTTTATTGAAGAAAAGAAAATATTTTGCTTGTTCAACGTAGCCTTATAAACCTCAGCCACTAAAACTCTAAAGGCGACTTCTAATTGCACGGACAATGTAACCATAAGGGTTTGAATCTACATGAATGTGCGACACATTGATGTTGTCCCCAAAGCGACAATGTCTAGACCTCATCACTCCCCTCTGTCGCCTTTCAGGTCCGCTACGCTTCAGACGTGCGAGAATTTGATGCTGTGGAAGAGGAAGAGGTGAGATAGCGGACATCGCATCACCCTTCTAATAGCAAGCTCCGCCTAAACACCTTGTTACCATCGGTGTGGAACTCATCCCACGCCCTTGCTTTTGCGCCTTCTACCCCTACCCCAACCCCTACCCCCAAAAAAATTTACATACCACCACATTCACGCCTTTGTTTAGTGTCCTTACCTCGCACTTCACACTCAACTAGTTTAAAATCTGTGAATTCGCGCCAGGAATATACAATGTGCATGCTCACTTGCGTGGGCTTTTTGACTTCTTCTATCCACCTTTCCCTTGGTAGGCAGATGCGCGCTTGCCCTTGTCACGGGTTGACAAGAAGTGGGGTGAGTTAAGGGCGTTCTTCTTCGCCCTCTTATATTCGTATTAGCCTGCTCTACTTTGAATGACAATCAGGCTCTCTTGAGGATAGCTTGCTCAAGACTGTCGGTAGTGGGAAGTGAATGTGAGCGTTTTGTTTTTGTGGCACAACCACCCTTGACTCGGATTGAATACTTGCCTACTTTAGTTATTGGTATACAGTTATTATGAAATAGTTTCCTGCACTGGCAGTGTATGCGTACTATTTTTTGCAAAGAACTTTAATGGTTCACTAGTTCCATTTGATTGAACGCATGGCAATTTTATGTGATGTTACTTAAAACAATTAATTCGAGGGAGATGGTTTGAGCTGCAGCTTTACCAATACGAAACTTCCTCGTTTATGATCTGTGAATTGCATTTGAAAGGGGGCAAAGACGATGCCGTAAGTTTGTATTCCCTAAGAATTAAATTTTTACTTTGAGTCGTTGTTTTCGCAATTCCCATGGCATCCTACACGCTGGCCCAAGCTGAATGCTACTTTATTAGTTGTAAGTAGAAAACTGAGGCAAAAATAATTTCAATTGGTAATTTGGGTTTTCGCATTTAACTACAAATCTCTGTCTTTCGCCTCATTTGTTTGGGATGTAAGTGGCTTTAAAATACCCCTTGAGTTATCGTCAGCTTGAGAGTAAGCTAGACTTAACCTTAAACCAACACTGGAGCGGCTGCACTTGCTTAACCCGGGGCAGATTTTGCCAGTAAGCACACGTTGCATTGTGAGACGTTTTTTTGTACCTTAAGCTGTTATTCAACGTTAAGAATTTGAAAACAACAGCAAGGCCTGTAGAGGTCGAAATTCACCTCCAGGTGCAATATTACAGTTATAAGCCGTAACGAGCACATGAGACTTCAAAGAAGCCGCCATTTTAATAACAAAGGGCTAAGAATGTCTAGCACAAAGTCCTAATTTTCTCGCTTTGAAATGCCAGCATCTCCTTCAGGTGTTTGACGCCCGAACTCCTCGCTTTAAGTTGAACTAGCTCCGATTTCATCTAAAAAATTTAATTCTTTGCGTTGTCGCTGGACCGTTTCACGGGGTGGGCTACCAGAGACGTCTACAACTTGAGACAAATTGCTTTGTGGTCGACTTTAGGAAAGCCTGGAACGCCGAGCCCTCTCCTAGCCCCCACCAACTGGCTGATTCTGTGCAGAGATGTGTTTTAAATGTGCTAACACCTTCCCTAAGGTCATGATCAATCAAGTACTATAATTTTGCAGTGCTAGAACCACGAGGCGCTTTGGACATCCCTCGTTGGTCAGGCGACTGGCGCGTATTGTACGTCACAAGCCTCGCCTAGACATACGCTTCCGTGAATTGGTGTATCTGCCCCCATGACTTTGTTTACTGATTAATCGGGTTGACAGGTGTACGGGAGCCATGCGCACGGCTAGTAACACTGGGTTGTGAAGGTAGCCGCTCGCTGTTTTGCTTACTATTCTCTCAACTGGGAATAAAAAGTGCTAAATCAAATTTGATGCCAATCTGTGGATCACTTGTATAAGTATGGTAGAAAGGTTATCTTGAGGACTCACCTGGACTAACCACCTCGCAACCACTCTGAAGGTGATGCGTCTTTGTGCATGGCCCAGAGAATTTAGCAAAACTTAGCTGCTCTGCCGCCATTAATGAACCGCAAAAAGCAAAGACCAATATGGAGTAAATTAAAATACTAGGCAGAAGAATTTTGGGGGATGTTTTGCCATTTAACATGAGCGCATTACAGTGGTAGAAAGTCTGGTTATGTATTTGCTAATGGGTTGTGTTTCTGCCTTTTTGATTGCGCTCTTTATTCAGCAGGAATTGCTGGATTGCTTAAGTGGATGTGTCACACAATAAAATGTTGAAAAAATTACAGTGAACAAGATTTCAAAACATCCAGTATCCACTACGGCTCCCGTTGACAATAAAAACAAAAAATAAGCAATAGGATTCCTTGCTCTCTACAGTGCTGGAAGGCATTAGGCATGGCATTTAAAACAAATGACACCAAAGAAGAATAAATTCATAAAAAACAAAATTAGTTCTTGGCAAATACGCATTCTTAGCATTACATTACTAAAATATCCTTTGTGGGGGAATTTTTGGGCTTTATCAGACGGACAATAGTCACGCAATGTTATCATAATTGGTGCTTGGGTGTGGTTTCTCATTGCTTTTGTAATCCCGTAAGGGCTTTCTGTAAGTCTTTGAGAATGGTCCACAGTCTTAACTTACGGACTGATGAATTTATGCTCCATCAAGGGCTTTAAGGTCGTGGGGCGTGGTCATCCGCCCACAACGAGTTCAGTGGCGTGAGAATACCACCCACGACCCATCCACCCCAAGCAGTGAACCTGCTTGCTACTGGTAATCTTTTTTAACCACAAATTTATTGATGTCTCTCGGAAATTACACTGAACCGGAAGTTACACTCTGGTTAAGGACCGAGTTGAGAGGAGGGAGAACAATAGCCCAAAGACCAACTCATCCAGTTAAAGGCAAGGCATGAGACAGTAACAACACCAGCACAATTTTCTTCCACTCCCTCTTGCTACTTGGTTCCCATTTCAGTAGTATCAATAACATAATAGTTTAATTGTCGTCCAGCTTCGTAACGTGTTCATCTGATTTGCATTTCACTGCAAGTATCGTAGACATCAGAAAAGAAAAAAAAACGATTCTGACGAATTAATTACTGCATTTGTTAACAGCATCTCTGAACAAATAGTGAGTAGTTTAAAAGCCGATAGTACGCGGCATTTTTACCCTCTCTGTTAGGGTTCATCACAGATCGCCTTGTTCTCATCATCAGTCCTTCTGGCATCACGTTAGCTTTTATCATCCATTAACATAAATTAGGACAGTTGTCCTTAAACATCGCCTTCTCTGATGACCGCCAGTATTGCCAAGGCAAAAAAAACCTTCGATGGATAGACGTGCGTATGTACAATGACAGTGTTGTAGGCTTCAGGCTTGGCTCGACGAATAAAGCCATATTGCCCATTCCAACAAATGTCCTCAAAGCGAGTATGTTGAAGGGGCTATTGGTTGTATTTAAGGCTTTTCTACTCTCTTTCCGTCCATACGACGGTGAGACTTTTGGCCACAAGCTAAAGCACATATAGTGCGCGGAAGTTCTAGTTGCACGGAGCACATAATTCACGACCAGGTGTTAGTAAGTCGGCACAAAATTGCTTTGTGTTAGGTTAGTCACACAGAGTTGATTAAATCGGCGAAACGGCTTTCAAAAACATCCACCTTGAGATTTTAATCTGTGGCCAGGGTGACCGAAGCTAATAGCGGCATTAGCATATAGGCGGTGAATGGTGTTGAAAGACACACGGAGAAGAGGCACAATGAATTAGTAAAGCGCTATTGTACAGTGGCATCCGATCTAGCTTGACACTCTGTTCTCCAGGCTGAAGAAATACCTTAATGAAGGTGGTTAAAGGGGCTTCAGTGGTGAAGAAGGTAGAACAACAGCCCGAGGGGATTTGGCATCAAGTGGGAGGAAAAAATTGTTGCACTCAATTGACAAATGACCCAAGTTCATTTGTCCCCTCATTAACGGATGGGAAAGGTGAGATCTCGAGGACCACTGGTTGGTTCCTCTTCGCTTCTCTCGCATTACACTTATTCCATTCAAATGCCATTGAGCTTGAGCTCTTCCCTAACCACTCGACTTACCAACTTGAGATGTGAAGTTGTCAGTGAACTGTGAGACTCAGTTACGTGAACAAATGCATCATGGAATGCCATTTGACGATCTACTCACTAACCATGCGCCATTTCACGCCCAGGCGACATTTGAATGAGGTGCACCTCTGATACCATTATTCACACTGAATTAGTCATTTCATTGTGACAAATTCACATTTGTGGCTAAGTTGACATGTTTCAACTCGACTCGACTTAAGTGGGAGGAAAAAAGTACTTCTAATCTCCACCTCTTCTTTCCAAATCACTTTAGAACATGCCAAGGACGATGACTATCTGGGAGGAGTACGTTCCCCTCACTCTTATGGGGCAACGCAAGGCATGACATCGTGGAACACGTCGCAGAAATCACTTATGAGTGGAAAGGGGACAACAACCTCATCTCATCCTCTACCTGACGAACGTCGCCTTTTCTTGGACTCTAACATGAAAATGACATAAACGCATGGAAAATGTGCAAAAAAGAGATGCATTGTGGTTCGGGAAAGCGGAGGTTTGGGCTAGGTTTTCCTTTATCCCCAAAAGGCGAACCGTGTCAAATCGAATCTCACAAATTTGCGTCTCCTTGGGAAGAGGCTTACAAAGTTTACTGTTGATTAAGACACCCAAAAAGGGCTTGCATATCTCAGTTTGTCTAAATGAATGGTGCCAAATCGTTACTAGCCCCCGAGTTGGCCATGCTTACTTTACTTAAAAATAAAACATACATCAAGTCGGAAGTCACGCCTGTAAACAAAGCCCTAGTGGAACAGAGAAGGGGCATAAAACTTTGTGAACGGAATGCTGAGGATAGCATTGTCTGTATGGCTGCATAAGAGAAAAAATCGCATCTAGAAGGAGTTTGAACCCACAGTGGAGGGCAGGAATGAACCATTCACCCTGGCAACTTCTGCTGCCTAATGACAATGTCAGTAAAGAATAGAACAGCCATTATTTTTACGAGGAAAAGACCAGTAACTTACATGCATCCCGACGAAAGGTGTGGCGCGAAAAATTTGATCGTCAAGAAGGTGCCCACAATTCCCGTAATTCAAGGGGCGAGACGCATTAAAGTTCACTTCCTATTGTCTTTGTTAAACTTAACTTGAACAAAAGAAGGCCTGGCTTTGCATGACTGAAGTTGGCGCAAATCGTTCAGCTGCTCTACAAGCTGACTTGCTCACTTCAGGATCTAAAAGTGACGGGAGGTTGTTTTTGGAGCACATAAAATCAAAATCGCAAAAGCATAGTCGTCGGGTGAAATTCCCACTGCTCATTAACGAAGTTTACTCTTGTTTCCTCCTGAATAAAGCAGAAGTCGAGGTGAAACTGACTATCGAGCGTGCTTTTAATAAAGGATATCAGGAGAGTTCCTGAGATTCTCAGAAGCCGCACTTATCAGTCATCCAGCACACATCCGGTGAAACACCGGATGATGCATTCCAAAATCATATTCTTCTAGTCCTCAAATGATCCGTGGATGGACGAGACTCCATAAAGAGAAAGAACCTACCAAGACACTGAAACTCACATTTTTACATACATCTATAGCCAATGCCATCCTGCCGTGGTCGACTAGGAGTTCGATGCCTGACTACTATTACCCGGTTCACACCCTAGCAGCCCAACTTCAACGAGGAAAAGCATATACAATCAACTTTCAAGCCCATTCTGCGAAATTGGAGACTATCTTTTTTTTTCAAAGTCTATAATTTCCAAAGAGGCTGGTAGCCGTTAAGACTAGGCTGGAATTCGTATAGATAGTTTGCCATCCTCCTACTCAGGGGAACAGAGAAAGGTAAGCAAATAAGGTGGAAGAGCAAGAAAACATGCAGGTGTGTAGTAAGAAGTGTTCGTGTGAAGTAGGAAGAGTAAGTTAAAAGGAAAACGAATCCACGCTTCCACCAGTTAGAGTGTAGGGCGCTGATCATAGGCACCGAAGGCAGGTGGTGGTGGCATCGCAGCACCGAAAAGACCGGAAGGCGGACCGCCGAGCTGCAACGGCATTCGCTGCATTCCTGGCTGTGGTGTTGGCACGCCAGGCTGTGACGGTGGTATGTTTGATTGTGGTGGCTGTGGTACACCCTGTGACGGCGGTGGTGGCGGCACTCCCGGATGGGGTGGTGGTGGCATCATTGACGTGGGGAATCGATTACCTGCCATTGGCATCGGTGGCGGGGGTGGCACAATGCTGTTTACGCCCGATGGCGGAGGTATCATGGATGATTGTGATGGTAATTGTGACTGGAACTAACCACAAATATATAAGAAAACTAATAAAATTAATCATGCTGCGTCTAAAAGAAATGCTGCACATAGAACCTCAATCAGAGAAACACTTGGGATATGTAGTCATTCGATTCTTCCTTGACCCTATCCCCAACGATATATTAAACAAATCTCATTAGTCCTCCAATTTACCGGGTCAATTTTATGCGCATGATTTATAACGTCTTCAGAGGTAGGTGGAACAATAAACTAAAATGTAGACGAAAAGTGGGTACTGTAGACGATGACTAAGCCTCAAGTATGCAGATATAAAGTCAATGAGGTACAGTTAAAGTGAATGAAATCATGCTATACAAATGCATTCATCGTCAGGATATCGATGAAGTCAATCCAAGAATGCTACTTGTCTAGATTACACCCAAGTTCGCCCGCTTACAGCACAGAACGGTAAAACGGAATAATGAACCTTTTGATTCGACGGAAAAGTTAACAAGTTCTGCGAATGAATAATGCAAACAAGGCGGTAAATAACACTCGCCAAAGTCACGTAAGAAAAATAACATCCTTTTAAAAACGCTGCTTTAAGGGGAGTGGCAATAATCACCTTAATTCTTACAAACACCACCCGGAACAATGATATTGAGCGAAAAGCATTGATGTCCCATGATAGTCGTCCCATTAAAACAACAACAACAACAACAACAACAACAACAACTAGGAGAGCGTGGTTCAATCAACCCGCAGTAAAGAAAACTTTTTGGGCTAGAATAAACTGTTAGATTTATACAGCAATCCACAGGCAGACCATGTGACTCACTGACCACCAGAAGCGATTTTCTCGATTGAATGCTACAAGAAACACTGAGGAATCAGACTCACCGGAGGCGGAGTCGCGGATGCTGCAACAAGAGGTGACGGTGCTATAGGTTGGCCTTGCTGTGTATGTTGTGGTGGCATTGGCGGTCCACTCATAAAGGCAGGACGTGGACCAGGTGGATTGAAAACAGACTGCGAAGTGGCCAGTTGCGATGAAGAAATGTTAGTTGCGGGCAAGAGTGCGGGCTGTTGTGCCTGCGCCTGTACCTGTGAAAAGGAGCCTGACGGCAAAAGACTAGCCACGGATGAAGCCGGAGGCTGTAGTGGCTTTGGAGGCATCGGCGCAACTCCAGCCGTTGAGGATGTCAGAGGCGTCCTCATTACCGACCCTGGCGGTGGTTCATATTGTAAGACGGGTGTTGATGGAATCTGAAAAGAGCGGAAGGACACCATATTATGGAATCCAAACAACAAGTGTGATTGTGGCAAATGTACATGGTCCGAATTAAGCAAACAGACCTATGAATATAAACTGCAAAATTGCGTATCGTTCCTACACTTTACACTGATTTATCCGGGTGCAACACAGCAATTGCTTTCATATGACTTTATATACAAGACAAATAATGCCCACACAAGGGCAAGCCATCAACATCCCGATTGCGGTACGCATGCACCGCGGTTAAATATCCCATGATGTGGTAGTTACTTATAAAATATAAGTACAACTCCTCACACACATTTGAAAACAGCGGTGCGGAAAGAGTAGGCTGCTGTTCTGGAGGCTGGGACAGGAACGGCTTCCTCAGGACTGAATCATAAGGAGAGGCTGACGAGTCCTGCAGTGCTGGAGCATGATCAAGTTTAGACGGTCCATTGGATGAGGCAGGCATGACTCCACTATCATAGACGGTTTCTGCAGACCTCTACAGCAAATCCAGATTAAATTTTACAGCCCACTTATTTTGGAGCAAAAATGGCTTTGAGCAAAAGAGAATAAGGTAGAGAAAAAATACCTTGGGAGTAGGAGAGCCAGTAGCGCTGCAAGAATTCACATTCGATTCTGGTTTAAAAGTCGTCACAAGTTGATCGAATTTCTCCGAAAGTTTGTTAATATCTTCTCGAAGACGCCTGACTTCTGCAAATAAACCCTCCATGTCGGGTTGATGTCCCACATTCCCATTACATACAACTTCAATAGAAGACGAGTCCATTGCTTGCGGAACTAAGAACGTTAAAAGAGCATGTCAATGCATGCAATAAGAGGCAAGCACTTAGAAATCATCTGTAATACAATAAATCCACATAAAGATTGATTTGATAAATGTCCGAAATGTAATGATTAGCTTCACAACAGAATGCAGTGGGGCCGAAAAAAATCAAAATAAAATAAATCCAAGAAACCTAATCCACTGCAAGAGAGGATGATGCAACAACAAAAAGGTTAGAAATAATACATCGATTTACCGATGAGCTTAAGACGTAATGTTTTGTATTGACGAATGGCGTACGATAAGTCGAACTCTTCCGCGATCGTGATGTACTCATCATCTACCAAGCATGTCCAAGGCGGTAGAGTGCTTACCTTCGTCTTTGTATTTTATGGTAAAGCTTTCTAAAGAATCAAGTTTGGGTTTGAATACACGCTGCATCATCAAAGTAAGCTCGTCGTAAGTTAACTCCTCATTATGAATAAGGATACGACGCAAATCATCACCCAATTGCGCCTTAATAACCAGCTTTCCAGCAAAATCACCATCAGACTTCGGAGTAACAAATGACATTACGAGCAGAAACGCGACGTTGGAGCACCTTTGAAACTGATGCGCGGTATATTAAACGCCACAAACAAGACACTTTATGGTCATTTAAAAGTGACAACATGACATTTTAATTTTAAAAGTTTTAAGAACGTTCATCAGATAATAATTTATTTAGAAAAGCTATAAAAGAAGTATATCGGTTGAACAGGCTGGTTCTATCTTTAGCAAAAATTTTGATTCGAATTAAGCACTGAATAACGACATAGGTTTTAGAACTGAGAGCACTCGAGCCAAATTTGTGTCTGAAAGTTTGAATAAGCTATGTGTAATATATTCTAGTTTTTTTAAGTGGACTTTTATAGGCGAGAAGCGGAAAGCAATTGGAAACGTGGATCACGTGCGCGATGTCGATGGGTAGCCTCCATGCGATTGACATCTGCTCATCACACCTGCATTTTATTCCCCTATCCTTCTTACAGAGATGCCTAATAAACCGTTCATAACCAACTTCCTCTTAAAGTCTGAGAACCAGGGAGCAGAGGGTAGACAGGTAGTAACTACACTGGTGGCAGCGCCGGTCGACATCCCTCCCTTCAAAGGAAGCACCGATTTCGATGACTGGTTTTTCTTTACAAAGGCCGATCTCGAACTCTACGAGCTTGGTCGGCGAGTACCATTGCTACTTCGCACCTTGCCCTATGACCTACGTCGGGAAGCAATGGATGCGGTTGTCTCACTCCCCTCAGATATGGAAGACTGCTTTAAGTTCCTTGTCAAACTGGCATCCCTCCAGAAGGAATCAGTTCTGGCTTCAGACTTTTCCACCGATTACAAAAACCGGGGAGAGTGATGAAGACTTTGCAGAGAATCTCCAGACGTTATTCAAACAGGCATTCAAGGATTGCTGTCCCCTACGGGTTGCCTCATGGATAGCGATCCAGTTCAAAAGGGGTGTACATCCACTTGCTTTGGCGGAACAACTGTTGCGGATGAAGACTAGCAGAGTGAGCCGCCTCATCGATGCGGCACTAGCGAAACGCTAAGAGCTACATCTCTCAACGGAGTTCAAGGCTCGCATTCACCCGTGGACTCCCAACAAACGACCTACTGACGATCAACGGCGTGCGCCCCGAACCGGTCCCTCAACACACAGTAAGACACACTTCTCTTTGTCTTGTCCAACTCTCACACGATGTTCTACCTTTATGCATGTACGGGGCAAACTAGAAGGTCACACATGCGTATTTC